TGTGTTTTTCTGTCAATATGGGGTGCTGTGTGTACATTAATGAGGAAAAAAATGAACTTAAATGATTTTAGCATATGGCTGCAATATAACAAAGAGTGAAAAATTTAAGGGGGTCTGAATACTTTCTGTACCCACTGTATATATATATTAGCCTTGACCAGCTGGTTGTTGGTCTTTTCTGTGAACACACGAGTAACCTAAAGAGTTAAGGGAATGGTGGAAATACTAACATGTATTGTTTGAGTTGGAGGAAACAAATGCCCCCACCCTAGCAATACTTCTTGTATTCAATACAGTCCTTATTTATTAAATTATCTGAACAATAAGAATATTTCTCCTTCCTCCAATGCAGTCTTGCTGATGAGTGTATGTAAAATATCAGTTCTCCTTCACATCCTCAACTGTTTAGGTTGCCAGTGTTGCATGTGACCTCTAGAAGCCTGACCCTGATACTGTGCTACATCTCTAAGGAAAATCTATCTCAAGAATAAAAAATGCAGACAAAGACAACATCCTAACTCCTCCCATGTTTTTCATCATAGCCAAACATATTGTCATTGTCTGAGGGAGCTTAGGACCAAGGCGGGGTGTCATGCCAAAGCCTGACTTTTATGAGGGGTTTTATATTCATTTGATGATCCCACAGGCCTCTGTTTCCTGAGTGGATTATCCGTATGTGCCGGTGCTGAGCCCTTTTTTATATTCAGCGCCGTGGCAGAGTCAATAAGGTCCATTCTGCATACAATATTCAAGATTATACAAGACAGACAGCATAATTCACACTCAATCAGAATACAAATGGCTGCTGACAGTGGAGCAACACAGTCAAAACAAACAGCTGACTGGTGCAGTCATCATCACCTTCCTGTGCTCTCACAGAATGTGTTTTTCCAGAGAATTATCCTGCAGGGTCTTCTTTACCTCTACTTGGTATGGACTGGTTGTTTTGTAAAGTTGTGATGTAAAATAATATGTCTTATACCAGAGAGTAAGGTGGACATGCTATTTCTTGTGCTTGCTTGTGCATACTCCATTGAGTAGACTTTATTGTGTTCTGAATTGTTTCCACCTCCAGCAACCATAAAAATTGCTCTCCATGGGATGGATCGGGAGATGAGAGAGGAGTACCTAGTTGTCATTCAGGCTAAAGACATGGGAGGTCACATGGGGGGCTTGTCTGGAACTACGACAGTCACCATCACACTAACAGACATCAACGACAACCCGCCAAAATTTTCTAAAAGTAAGTAACTTCATGATCTTAAACATCCCATATCAAATTACCAGGAGAAACAAATTACTGTTTCTCTAAATGATTGTTTCCCTGATTGGTCGTGGAAAAATAAATGTTAGGTTATTTTGTAAATTTCTTCAAGCAGTCTCCCCAGAAACAAATTATTCTAACTACTGTAATGCAGCACTGAAAATGCCTCCATAATTCTTTTAATTTGATCAACATTTTGTAAAACAAGATTTTATGCCTCTTTCTCCCCAGGTTTATACGAGTTTGTAATTCCTGAAGACCTGCCGACAGGGAAAATGGGCGGCAAGGTGAAGGCAAATGATAGGGACATCAGCGAGAATGCTAAATCAACATACAGCATTATTGAGGGGGACGAGCAAGGCATGTTTGAGATTATTACGGATACACAGACACAAGAAGGGATTCTCCGACTGAAAAGGGTAAGACCTACAAACTCACTGGAAATGAATGAAGTCACTCTTCATGCTTTCTACTTTTATAAGTCGCTGACTTCAAACACATCAGGACCATGATTGTAGGAGCTACAAGGTGCATTTGCTAATGTTAATTTAAAAGGTAGTGAACTACTCAAGCTACTGCAGCTACATCAATCTGCAGCTAATGACTTAATGGACATAAGCAAAGATACAACATATGTTTTTCATTTTAAATGCCATGCTAACAAGGTCAGATTTATCTGCTCCTTCTTTACCACTTGAGAGTGGATTACTCACAAAAATAATAAATATTAAAATGTTGGGGCTTGCCCTCTATGAAGCTTGAAGAGCATTTGCTCTTTTCTGTACTGTTCTGGAATATATATATATATATACACCTCTTTTCATCCAAAAGTGTTTATTTGATTTTTTTTGCCTTCAAAAACATCTAGTAAAGACAAAAAAAAAAAACAAATCAAAACAAACAAACAAACACAAAAACAAAAAAGCTATGAATTCAAATATCACTTTCACATGGTTTGAGCTTAAAGCAAAGTGTGGGTTCTGGCTGCACATGTGTTCGTGTGTGTGTGTGTGTGTGTGTGTGTGTGTGGAAAGCAAACAGAAAATCTCAGAAAACTAAGTGGTATGAAGTGTTTTTTCCCCTGACAAGATAGGCTGCTCTTATTTTGACATTAGAGTCTTGTCTGTATAGCTGTACAGTAGCTGTCTTAGCTTAAATTGTTATATATTGCAAATTGACTTAGCTTTGCTTACATTTAGTTTTGCTGACACCCACATTACCATCTCCACAAAAGCAGATGGACTGGACCTATAGAGTTACATGTTGTTCATTGCAATGTTATCATGCACACTTGTAAGAGCTGCAGTTTCCTATTGCTGGCCACAAAGCAACTTCATCAGAACAATTGCTAGTTAATTGCCTCGCTCAAGGGTATATTGGCAGTAGTTGTTCAGAGAAGAAAAAACAATGCTCATTAAATTTGTTCATCAAGATATTCCCAGCTGCATGTTCCTGAGGAACACAAGCTAGTGATGTTCCTGTCAAAAAGTCTGATTCTTTTACCTCGAGGCAAATACGTTAGCACATAATGGCATGGCACTATGTGATGGTGGTGAAGCAAATGTTGGAATTAATAGCATGGCATTCATCAGATAAGTTTAAAAGTATGGCAAAAGCTAAGACACATGCTTTGCTCCTGATAGAATAAGTATCCCAGGATCTCAGTCATTTTCATACAATTTCACACAATGTGATAAATTTCTAGCTATTCAGTACAGATGCAGTATGAATATTTCCTTCAGGATAAAAGCTGCACAGGCTTAAGTCTGGGTATCATTGCTTGCCTGTAGACATTGAGAGCACTCAGTTCCATATTTTGCTCAATACCAGTGTGTGAAATTTAAATTTGAAAACCGCAGTGAGTTTTAATAACACTGTGACCTGCAAGCAAGTTTAGACACCGCAGTATCTCAAGGACATCTGTGAAAAATCAAACTGAGATTTGACACATGGTATCAAAGATACCAAAGCACACACTATTTATCTGTGTGTCTGTTCTCTATCCCAAGACTCCAGAAGCTCCTCTTGGTAGAGGATGTCTGCATAAATTGAATCATACACATGACTGATTGATGGACGTTCTTAAGTCTTCAGTCGTGTTTGGTTCAGTGCCTGAAAAGAACATCTATATATCACATAAATGCAGAATGCCATTGCATTGTGATGTAAAATGACATTACCCCAAGGACATGTGGTGTGACTTTGTTAAAGTGTGAACAATGAACTGTGTGGGAAGTGTAATATATAAGCGCTAAGGCAATCTGCCGGGACTACAATTCACTGCCACTAAAGAAAACATTAGTGCTGGAGCACAAACTCAACACAATGTCATAAAATCGCTAAGTGTTGACAAAGCAAATGTCAAATGTGTTAGTCTTTTAGGCGAGCTCCACTTCCATGTCCCGTCGAGAGCTTCACTCTACCCATGCCTTTTCAGCCTTCTCTCTGTGGCCCTGAGTTGGCTGCCTACATCACTAACACAAGTTGGATGATAATGTGTTGGGAAACTAGGAATGGCATTTGCACACTTACTGTTTTTGCATCCCTAGAGACAGCAATGTCTCAGGTTGGAATAAGTTAAAAGAAGTGTTTGTTGCACTTTTTGCAGTTGCTCTACATTATTGCCAGTGTTATACTAGGTTGACAGAAGACAAGACTCAGTGTAATTCTCCAATACGGCCCGTCCTCATCTACAGCTGTATGGGTCTGTAAACTACTATCTAACACAGAATTCAAATTATTTATTACAAAGATTCTTTGTGGCAAGATTAAAACATATCGATCTAACTGAGACTGGAGAGAGAGAGTCTTTGCTGCTTTAACTTTAAGCTTTTTATCTGCCAGTCCCCAGGCCTGTTGAGGGATGTTAGCCAACAATGAACTTCGAAGTCTCTAAATGGCCTGTGTGTACATACTGATTTGATGCTAATACTTGAGAGAGACTGGACACCATAGGCTTGTGGGGTGGAACACAATGGTGAGGGGGATGTTAAAACAGTTGAAATAAGAACGTCTTCTTGTGGCTAAGTGTCTGTCCACCTTTTAAGACATTTAGCCTTGTTTAGTTAAGTGATGTTATTTACCTGGAAATATGCAACCATGACTCTAAAACGTCAGGTACATACAGTAGTTCTGCTGTTTTCCTTTTGCACCCATGGATCTCTTAATAATCAACAGAAGCTGTGCAACAGTAGCACAGTGCATACTAATACAAATCAAAGAGGGTCTCCCTGGATTACTCAGTCAAAGCGCTGTGTGCATTTATTGAATTCATAATTTGAAAGGGTCAAAATATGACTTGTATTCTAATTCAGTGGCTGAAATATTATACTGTATTTAAAAGAGCAGCTTGCATAGATGCATTACTTGATTTTGTGATTGATATTAAAATAATTCTTATCAGTCTTAAGTAGGCTAATTAAAGAGGCTGTTCACCACTGTTTTCCTTAAACCATTCCAGTGGGTTTTCATGATTAACTACTGTATGTCAGCAACAGTGAGAGACCCCCTAGCCAAATTAAACTTTCTATTAGGATACTGGAAACAAATATATTGAGTTCTTTAAAAATGTTGTCAAGTGGAAATATTTTGATCAGGAGGAGCATGTGAGCCAATTTTCCAGGTTGAATTTATTTTAGAGTACTTTGCTATAGTACTTATAAGGGTGAAAAGCTGCCCACACAATACACCAGTACTCTTAAAGTTGTATGAATAGATATTTTTATATTACCATTAGATTAAATTATTATATGTCTTGTGAAAGTGGCTTCTTATCTAGACCAGCTCATGGGAATTTTGATTCTGACTAAATGTCAGAAGTGTTTTAGCATACTGTAAATGTTTTGGTCATGGTCAAGTGACAGATATTTTTGTCTGGAGTTGGTGGAGAACAAAGCAAAGCTAAAAGGAAAAATGAACATTGGCTTTACATTTATCAGACAGCCCATAACACAGCTCTTTTGCTAATTGCCATTGAATGGCCAAACTTAGAACCACTTTTAGACACTCCTCACAATAATAATAATAATAATAACAGTAAAGTGCTAGCCTTATCTCTTCTGGACCCTGACCAGTTAGACCAGTGTTTGTACCAGTAAATTACTTCATATTATCATATTCTACATTTCCATATAATAATTTTTACTACCTAGCCACAACCTCATACAACTCCTTACTCTCCACCCTCTGGATTAAAGTGTAATCCATTTGTTCAAGGTCCAGCAGATTCTGCACTTTCTCAGCACAGATGTCAGGATCAGAGAGGAAGAAAAGAAACAAATCAAGGGAGGGTTGGGGTAGAGGTTGGGTGTTAAGAGTTGGGGGGGGAAGGGGTGGGTAGAAGATGAGGTTAATAATGGAAGTGTTCCAAATAACATCTCTGACCTTGGAGGAGTGGGACTTGGAGAGGCTTCAGGGGCTTTGGTCTTTCTACTAGTGGAATGTACAGTAGAAGTGTGGAAGTCAATGCCCTGGGTCGCTACTGCTACTGTCTCACAGCTGGACCATCAGACACCCCTCTACACCCAGAGCTCTCAACGCTGGCCCTGTCTGACCTCAGGGACAATTCCTCTTGCTCTCATCCTCTTTCTCTAACTGAATACATTTCTTGTTTTGTTCATCTCCCTCCTCTTAGTCCTCCTCTATCCCCAAGCCAGCTCCTAACCTCTTAAGCGACAAGGCAAGGTTTTGATTTCCCTATAAATCCTAGTTATGGCGCATGGAAGTGACTTGATCCCATTATTCTAGTAGTATGAGAGTGACCAGAGGTGATTCAGAATGAAATTGTGACAGTCTGGGGTACACTTAGAAATGCCAAGAGAGTAAAAATGTGACTCTTCTTTCTTTTTAGATGAGCCATCTGTGAAGAAAATAATGTATAACAAATTGAAAACATGGATTAAACAGACATGTCAGTCATGTAACAACATGTCCTGGGAAAAATGTATGTATTTCTCTTTGGAAAATTGCACCTTTTGTTGATAGTCTTGAAAAAGCACCTCTTCTTATTTATTTTATGCGAGCTGTTTGTAAAAGCAGTATGAAAGTTCTAATAATCCAATCTGCTGTCTCTGAGAGTATTAGTAGGGTGATTTGTGCTCTTTTATGCCAGTACAGGCAAAATCATTTCAGGTTGTGCAGCTCTGGAAATGATGATTATTGTAACTTTCTGATTTAAAGTGATTATCAAATACATTTTTGCTGCAACAGATGGACATTATCACAGTCACTCCTCAACTCTGTTATTTCAGATTAAAGCCACTCCTGAGTGGGTGATTTGTATGTGATCATAGAGTCTTTAAACTGTTCTGATGGCTGAATTCTTTTTGTTGAAAAGTGAGGAAATGGTTGGATGCTTACTCAGTTCTCAGCCCAACTCAGCCCCCAAGTTTGCCACTTACTGCAATGGAGATTAAAAATAAATGATTCAGATTTTAAAAGTGGTTAAAGAAGTACTCATATACTCATTTAGAAATAGCGCTATTGAATTTTATTGAATAAAGCATTGTAAGTGACAGCATTAACCGTAAAGAAAAGCAGCCCGTTTTAGACTTGTACTGTTATTGATATTGCAGCTACAATAGTTGAGGTAGAAGTAACTGCACTGCATTTCCATAAAGATGGGGAACTCAATAGACATTTTTTAAAGGAACAGCCTATAAGTCAAGCTCCAAAAACAGTGGATGTTACATTCCCCATAATGAAAGTTGATAGTCTTTCATTACATCTTTCCTGCCTAGAATAGCATAATTTCTGATGCAGTTGTTTTTTGTTTTTGTTTATTTGTTTATTTGTTTTTTTTACTTTGTAACTCTGTACTCCTGTAAGCAAGTTAAGGTAACTGCGATGACAGGATTTTTTTCAGATTCTGGAGCAATCTCTCCAGAGACCACTGAATATATTATACAGCTATTTTCACAGACTGAGTAATAATCTCTTCACAGGTGAGCTGAATATGGTGTGTAAAATTTGTGAAGTACTCCTTACAAAGAGAATCAAAACTGTACAGAGTTCATGTTAATGTACTGTCCACCACTAGATTTTACCTGGGTGATCTGGATGGTTATAAGACCTCTGCTGGAAGCAGCTTTTAATCATTTCTCTCTGTCCCCACCCCTTACCCCAGCCGTTAGACTACGAGAGCAAGAGAGCCTACACACTAAAAGTCGAGGCCACCAACATCCGCTCTGAGCCCACCAGTGGTGGGCCCTTCAAAGACACAGCCACAGTGAAGATTGTGGTGGAAGACTCCGACGAGCCTCCTGTTTTCTCCAAACCCATGTACTTACTGGAAGTGAATGAGAACGCTCCCATCAACACAGTCATTGGGACAGTCACTGCCAGGGATCCGGACGCTACTGGGAGCCTTGTCAGGTATGAGAACAGCTGCAGTTAACAGTGAGCTATAAAAACAAACTTTACAGCTTAAGCATTTGCTATTGACTGACCAGGGCAATACAAAATTTTAAAAAAGAAAAGGCTCTCTAGTGCAGAGTGGAGAAGTGATGGAAAGAATAGGTTAACAATAGGTTAACAAATTAGTCTTTTCAGGCTATAATGAGTTGTTTTAATAAAAGGGCTGACAGTGAAGCATGCAATTAAATCTCTTCATGTCTATGACCTTTGGAGACTGTGGTAGTGTCACTGATAGCAAAGAAGCAACTCAATGATTGCTTTCATTTCCACAGATGTACAAGAAAAAGTAGATTATGAGTTGAAGGCAGCACAACTTTCTCTTTCTCTGACCAGCCTTGCTATATTCTGCTCTTGTGTGACTTATTCCTGGAAATACCACAAGGGCACCTTGAGGATAGGTTATACAGGCAATTTCTCTCCCTCCATCTTGGCATTTCATTAATTCTCCTGCGACTTGCTGACCGCATTCCCGGGACAACACTCAACAGGTTGTGTGTAATTGCGTGGCGAGCAGAGAGCAAGCTGGGTTTCATAGATTGGTTGAGGCTATATAGCAGGGCCAATTCATTGCCCCGCCATTTTTTTTTTCTGGTGGCATCCTCATGTTTAGTGATGAGATTGCCAGGAGGAACTGAGCCCTGAGGTTGCACGGTGTCACTCCCCTGGTATAAAGAGAAGTGTGTTCCATATATAATGACATCTTTTGCCTCATTTAGTGCTTATTCTGTGTCACAGTGATGCTATGTTAGTCAGTGCAAGTTAAAGAAACCAGTTTGTTCAAATGAAGTGTATAAAGGTGCACTGTATCATTACAATTTATATTTTAAAAATAAGTTAAAAAAAAAAATCATGTGCAGTAGTAATAGGTAGTTATGTTTGTCTACTTTCTTGTTATTGATCTCCTTCAGTGCATCATTATTGAAAGAAAAGTGACTAAATAATGAATGAGTGTGCATGAGGATGACAGTATTCTGCTAATGTGATCTCTTCAAAATTTGCTGCTATAAAGTTGTCCAGACATCAACTGTCTGTATGATACAGTTCAAATTGACTCATAGACTGCCATCTGAATATAGCAGGCCATTTGCTTTTTGCAGTCATTCTCTCTCTCTCTGTCTCTCTCTTTCTTTGTTGTCCTGAGGTCAGTCACTTACACTCAAAGTGTTCATTATGCTTTTAATCAATAATTTTTGGATTTTGTGGAGAAAGTGTTATTTTCAGAATGGATTGTTGCTCAAGGATTTTGTGACTATCAGGCCAAAAATGCATGGCAGGCAGAAACAGAGAATAGAGCTTTTTGAAAATCATTCTCAAGGGCTGAATTTTTTTATACTCATTTTCAAACTTTTCTCCAAAAGAATAGGAAGTACTAAGTGGCTAATAGGATGCTACATTAGTCATCTGCCAACTGTTGTATAGACACTGATTATTGAGGGGTGGGGGAAACTGCTCAAAGAATACACACACAACCAGACATTTACTTGCTAGTTTACGTTTTGGCACAACAAATTGCTTTATCTCAATATGCAATTTTCTTTGAAAAATCAGCAATTTTTAAAGATCAGCATGATTTATGGCAGATGTAAAGTGTTTTCTTTGTGCGAGAGATGATATGAAACAAAACTATTGTCACAGAGGGATTAATATGATGCATCTCCCTCAGCAAAGACATTTGATTTTACTCCCAGCCAGGGTTTGTATTAGCCTGTAACTCTGAGCTTTGGCCTAATAAAATGATTACAGTCTGGAAGATTATAATCTTCCAGATATACTGGTTGACAGAAGGCCGTAGTTGTCAGGTTTGGTGGGTGAAGCTGCCAAATAGTGTTTGTAGTGAGCTCAATTATATTGCCAGACGAACTGAGGTAGAGAATAGTCTTTTACAAGCAACACTCAAAACAACAGTACAAAGTCCAGTACCAAAATCAGTTCGATAATACAGTCCAAGGTCAGCGCCGGTAAACATCTACAGCTGGGATATCCACAAGAGAGAGGTCAGGGAGGAGATATCAGAGGGTCGGTACACAGCAGGCAATCAGAATCAGGGGGGAATAAGGCAAACACGGTGGTCAACAGGCAATCCGGGATCAGAACAAGATAATCAGGCAGAGAAAGAATGCTGGAAAGTCAGAGCTAAGGTCTAGAACAATCTGGCAACTTCCTGGTGTGGGGAAGTTGCCTATTTGCTTGTGTAGCAGGTGTTGCCCATTTGGATGATGAGATGCAGGTAAAAACAATACCAGCTGATTAATGTAAAGAGTCCAAAACTGAGGTGAACCAAACAGGAAGTAATCTCAAAGTAAAAGCCTGGGACCCAACGCCAATGGGACAGAATCATGACCGTAGCCTCAACAATGCCTTTTACAGGAACAGAAGTATGATTTAAATAATGGATAATCTGGACCAACGCTTCACCTGACAATATACCAAATATTTACACTTTGAAACTTTCTTTGTTTGTAATGCATACAGATCTGCAAGTAACAATTATATGCATTAGTGAGTGATCTGCCTATTGTTTTTTGGATTAATTGATTAAACATGTAGTCTATAAAACAAAAGAAAACCAAAACTATGTGCTAGGATCCAATGTGGCATCTAGTTTTGTCTAATGCCCCTCCCCTACACACACAAAAGCTGCAATTAGATGAAAATACATAGTGTTTTTTTTTTTACTGAATAATTACTGAAATGATCAATCATGATCTTAAAAGCAAAACAAACAAACAAAGCATGTGCAGATTATTTAGTTTTATTTTGTTGTTCAGTTTATTAACAAATCATTGCAGCCCCAAATGCACAGAGCATTTTGTGGCTTTAATTCGGTAAAGTGGTGATGGACAGACTTGAATGGGGGTATAATTTTTTTCAAAACTTTATTTTTCAGCTCGGAAAATACATAAGCCATTTTTTAAATTGACTGTACCCTTTTATATATTTTCAAGATTTGTCCAGTAAACTCAAATAAGGTGAGAAATAAAGTATTCCTGTTAAAACAATAGTGAATGTTTCAACTGAAACACATGCAGTGCATAAATTACACTTACCAGCCTACAACTGTCCTCCTCCCTCCCTTCAGTCTCTTTTCCTTTTTCTCTCCCTATTAGCCTTTTATTATCTAGCTTGGTGTTTCAAAGGCTGGACAGACAAGGGGCTCCCAACAATAAAGAAAGGGAAAAAAGCTGTGGCATAGTGATCGTAGCAATAGTATCATTAGTTTGAACGTTCTCGTGATCACCACCTGAACAAGCTTTCAAGTCGATCCCTCTGATTAGAATGGCTCTCTGTCTCAGTCCCCCTCCAGCTGGACCAGACCAAACCAGTTTGAGTCTGAACCACTTGGGGAGAGTGCTCTGGTGGGCTGCCATGTCCTCTGCACTCAGGAGACAAACAGCCCCTTAGCTGGACTTAATGCATCCAACCAACAACATTTCAGGTGCACTCCATGAAATACTCCGTCAGTATTGCTTTTCTCTGGAGCCTGTGCTCTGTCATTTTCTGCCTGACTGATCATACATAAAAGGCAATGTGACATCTGGCAGTCACTATAGCTGTCTGACATGAACTGCTGGATTTCATGGAAAACTGTAGGTAGTCGTGACTGTGTTTGACTCAATACTGTAATAAGCACTGCTACAATCTGCATGGATTTTAACCATCTTTCATTCACATTGTTGTCTTTATGTTTGTTTCTTCTTATTTTATTGTTGCATACAATGGCAGAAACATAACTGAATTTTGTCATTTGGGAGGGGGGTGCTGGTATGTATTAGGGGCTCTCCTGACTGGAAATTCAAGCAGTAAATTTAAAAGGAGATGAATGAAATGAATAGAAATTTAATGTCATAAAAGAAAATACCTATTCTGCAGTTTTAATTTGTTTTCTTTTTATATTTTGATGTTTATATCTTACTTTCTGCAGAGGGTCTGCATCCAACCTAATAAGATGTAGTGTTAAAACACAACTGGTCAGCATTCAGGGGACAGCAAAAATTTGTTCTACATCTGTGATCCTCCCAGTGGAATCACTGACCCAATAACAAGCAGAAATGTCATAGAGACTTTTTGTTCTCTTTGGAAAAAAAGCATTTGTTCTTGATCTTTTCACCTCTTCTTCTTCTAACTTGTACAAGCATTCAGATGCTCACATGCACTTATATTCAGAGTGATGGAGAATGCAAATCTATACAAAAACTGTTCCATGGCGGTTTAACTTTTAGACAAATTAGATCCTGAAGTAGTTTTAACTAGTGCCTGACTGATAGTGGCATGGCTGGTATTGTATAGTATCATTATAAGTTTATACTGTAGGCCAACAATAAATAAATAAATAAATAAACAAACAATGTACATAAATGTGCAAAAAAAAACAAACTGTTAATTCACAGGCAGTGTTGCCATTACATAATCTGGCCACCATGAATACTGTATATCTCTCAACTCTTATATTTCACCCAAGTGGTCACAATATTTTAATAACCAAATTTTATGGGAAATTATGTAAATATTGAAAGAAGAAAACAATACATTCTTCCTCTTACAGAATGGAATCTTGAGTTACATAAACACCCCATAAATTAAATTAATATGCTCAGGTGGGTTTCTAATCCAGCCTTGCTCGGTCTTGTATGACCAGTTAATTCTAGTGCCTCGTGTTAGCAAAAGGTTAATAAAATTACTAGTAACTGACATAACTGAGTCACTTTCATGACTCTGTAACTCTTCTGTGCTGCTATTACAGATTTTGTTCCAGGGTCTGTGCAACTACAAAAATACCAAATCCTACATTTCCCAAAATGCAGTTTGATAGCATATTTGATTACTTAACTAGAGCAGACACTTCAAACATACCTTAAGCCCACCCCCTACCCCCACCCCACTGTAAATATGCTAACAATTGCATTTGCATCTAGTATCACAAAATTAGAAACCCTTAGGTGGATATTTACAAAACCTGTTGTAAATCAGCGTCAGGTGTACAAAATACTGTAGCACCTCAATTTTTCAGTTTAGTGGTGTATTTACCAACACTAATGATAAATGAGCAGATGCAGCAGTGTTAATTTGAGTACACCTCTGCTTAGGATTTGGTGCCTGTAGACTGCACATGTGGACTGAGATGAAGCGTGGATGAAAGTTTACAGTGATATAACTTTAAGATCCTTAACAGAACACAAGGGTTAATATGGTTGAAGAAATCAGAAAACATATTTCGGAGATGCAGTCAAATCTTCTGCCAGTCAAATCATCTTTTATTTTGTTCAGTAATTGAAGTATGGTTTGACCTGAAAGCCTATAAAAGTCCCTCACATTCTCCTTTGGGGAGTGATGCGATTTACAAACACCCTTTCACTCCTCAAATATATTCTTATCTCTGAAGAGATCTCAGATGACTAACAGATGTCACGCTGACAGCAGGGCTGAAAATTTTACACCTGCTTTCACCCGATATTAAACTTCATCCGCAGTTCCCTCTGACGCAACCATGGTAAATCAGGCACTGAGGGTTTTTGTATGAATTTCCATTTTCTCCTCCCTGATTTTGCCCCCCAGAAATGACAATGCCTTAAAATACATATTGAGACCAAACATGCAAATTCCTGCAGTACTGCTTTTCTTCTGTTTCTCCAGCAAAAAACCTACTCAAAATCTACTCAAAGCAAATGTTATTTAATATATTTCCTCGCAATTTTAATAATATTTGAATAAAATTACATGATGTGATGGAAAAATAAAACCACAGGGTAGTTAACATACAGTAAGTAACTGTTGCTAAAAAGACAAAAGATTGCTACCCCCCAGAAACTCGAACAAAGAAGTCCTGGCCTTATTGTTTGATTGACAACATTGCTTTCATTTCCACAGATGTAACATTTTCACTGAATACAAGATTACAACTTGTAGTTATCTTTATTTATGTATTTATTTTTTCTTTTTACATACACATTTTTGTCACTTATGTACTTTGATTAAATCATATGAAATCAAATTTTATTTGTATCACTCCAAATCACAACAAAAGTCATCTGAGGACACTTTACAAAGTAAGGTCTAGACCTTACTGTTATCATTATTATTACAAAGGGAAAAACCCAACAAATCCCCCTTGAGCAAGCACTTGGTGACAGTGGGGAGGAAAAACTCCCTTTAATGGAAGAAACCTCCGACAGACCACAAACCCGGAACCCTCTTGTTGTGAGGCAACAGCGCTAACCACCATGTCACCATGCTGCCTGAGAGCTATGTCATCTAGAGTAACTATATGATTAGACAGCAGATTTCTAATATTTTCAGGCCCAAGCACAATGACTTCAGTTTGCATACCATGTTTGTTTCTGGACGTCTGTTGCATTCGCTGTAAGAGAGTTACTCTGCTGTGCAATATCTGACACAAACAGCCTCTACTCGGTGTAACTGTAAGACTGAGGTCAGTCCAATGCCATTTAAAAGCCCATAAAAAGAAAAGCAAGACTCAAATGAGACAATACACACACACATGCATTTGCACACATTTTCACATTACACTCAAGAAAACTCTGCACGTATAATGCTGGATATCATTTTTTATTTGCTTTTAATTCTTTTCACATCACGTTGTCAGTTTGAGTGACAGGTGGCAGAACATTTCAGGGTCTGTCGCTTCCACGTGAGGCTGTCAGAGTTTGACTGGGATCCACTCAGTCTGCAGGAGAGAGGCTGCTCCCAGGTGGTTTGCTGCTGTCTGCCTGCCTTGAAAGTGCTCTGCTTCTGCAGGGCAAGAGAGAAAGAAGTGGGTGGGGGGAGGGGCAGGGGGATGGGTCCTCATGGACCTCTCCTAGCCCATCGTCTAGAGGATTTTACACCATTTCATCTCAAAAATGGAAATGTCACGGCTCGGTACATCTCCCCAACAATTGGAATCTGGGCCAGTGGTTTATTTATTTCATTTTCTACCATTCTTGTATAAGCAGCATCCTCCTTCATAGAAATTGTTATTGTTGTGACTTTGTGCTCAGCTTTTTCTAGTGCTCCTTCTCTATTTCTCTTTCTCTCTCTCTATCCTTCCTTCCTCCCTCTCTCTTCTCTCTGTCAAATAAATACTGCAGGGTTCCTGCCAACAGGTCTGGACTGATAGGGATGAGCGGTTCCACTGCAAGAAGCTTGGGGACCCAGGGTTAGGAAGGAAGGAAGGGAGACAGGGTGAGCAGGGCACCTGTTGACCGAGGGATGTCTGTCTGGGGAAGGGGGTCTGAAAAAAATGGATAGGAGTATTGGATTTGGAAGAGTTTGAGACCCAGCTTAATTAAAAAAAAAACTTTGTTGGTGAGTAGAGGGGGAAGTGCTTGTGAGGGAGGATATGAGAGTGAGAAAGTGAAAGAAAGGAACAGGGACAGTTTGTCCTGGAGCTATGGAAATACTTGTAATTAGCTCTTGTGAATCATTGCGGCCTTGTGTTTTGGGTAAGTAGGATGTTTATGACAGTCACACATAATGGCAAATGAAATGTGTGAAACCAAAGATGACCCATAATGACAGATTCTTTTTTAGTCAGTTTTGTGTGGGCTCATCCCAAGAATTGGTGCTGCATGCACTGCAACATGAAAGTGCGATTTCACAGCTTCGAGCGGCATCGGAAAATTCTCTTTTATGTGCATTCCGATTGCATATCCTCTGCTGGAGTTTTTTTTTTTCTTCCCTGGATAGTTTTATGTCTCGCCCCTGTAATTTTAAGGCTCTACAAGTCTCAGTATGTCAGTGTGTCACAGGCAGGGTCACAGAGAAGTAGTATCAGGAAAAGGAAGGTTTTTCAAATGTATCCCTCGAAACAGTGTTTAATATATTGTGTTGCATTATTGACAAGAACCTAAAAGGGGGCTAAAAGTGGCTTAAAAAGAAAACAAAATCAAACAAGGTCACATATAACAGGCGGGTCCATTATACCCCCACCTCCCACCCGTTGTCTGAGCATGTGTGTGACACAATGCTGTCCTTACTCATTAATGCAAAGCCTCTGGGAGCCATTGAGTGTTGACAGATCTCAAATAGGGTTAACAACACACCATCCCTCACCCTGACATAACATGCACTAATGGTCTTTTGTGTAGAAGGGAGGCGTTGCCATGATTGAGGGGAGGGCTTCAGTGCCCCCTGCTGCGCTATTGAAGGTTGTAATTATTTCTCAGATGATAATTATTGATTTCTTACCATTTCAATGTGCAAGAATCTCAAAGTTTCTCTTGTTGAGACCCTGTTAGCCACAACACAACAGGGACTGCAAAAGATGCCTTGGTGGTGTCGTGGCAAAACAGTTTTGGCTCAAATGTCTGATGATTTTGCAGGTACTTCATCGATCGGCACACAGACCTGGAGAGACAGTTCAACATCAACGTGGATGATGGGAAGATCACACTGGCTAAACCGCTGGACCGAGAGACGGACATGTGGCACAACATCACAGTAACCGCTACAGAAGTCAGTAAGTAACTTCTCATGACTCTGGTCTTCCCTGCTGTGCACATCATTCCTCATGAATTGTCATCTTCTATTTTCACAATCAACATACTATTAGATGTTCATTGGTACGCATGGTTAGAGTCTGGTGAATTGCAAGAAGACACGCCCAATATCTTCTTCATCTGAGTGACTTCAGAGGTTGTCTCAGTGAAAAGAATCATTGGCCTGCTACACACAATCCTCTTCAACAGTATAGTATTTTGTAAACCAGTGCGTTTAATCGTTCTGAGAGTATGGCACAAACAATTAGCATTTGAATCCACAGAAGCATTTAATACGTTAATTTGCTGAGTTTTGATTGAATTAAACAGCTCAGTAGTCAATTTGTGGAAGTGCAAGAACATTAAGACGTATCAAATAAACAGTTTTAAAGACATGCTCCAGAGTGGATTGCTCCAACACCAGCATCCATTACAAATTAAAGAACATCTGCAAACCCCAAAACTCACTGACTACATAGAAAATCTTGCCGGCAGAGCTACAAACAGCTCAAACCATATGTAAGGCTTTATTTGCATACAGATTGTTTCAGGGGGGCTGTATGTTGTGATAAAGCTTAATGTTCCCCTTAAAGCTATTGAAATAGAAATTTACATAGCTTGCAACTTTTTTCATGTCCCCTTCCATTCTATCACTCTTCTTCTCTCTCTGTCTCATCCTCTATCTGTCACTTCCTCCCCTTAATCAAAGGAAACACACATTAATTGTTAGAATAAATGAAAGCCCAAACACTGTCATAATGTTTTGGCCATGCAGTACAGACAAATCCCACCATCATAGCAGCCCGCTGGAGGAATTGAATGCGCCTCATTTGATAAGCTGGTTGCCTTGTCAAGTCTTGCACCCGCACATTTAAAGTGTGCTTTTATGCCTCTTGGCAAAGTAACTGTGGCTTGAGATAGTGGCATCTTTGAGAACACCTGATAGGAATTTGCCAAAATAAATATAGCAGTTTTTCTGTTCTTCATGATGGGGAGGGGAAGTCAGTGTCTTCTCTGGTGTAGAGAGGAATAAATGTGTTCCCAGTTCTATCCCAATGCCATTTGCCACGCAAACGGAGGCACGTTCTGCTGCCTCGCACCAGTTGACATCTGACTAATCAGATTCTATTCCCTGTTTGCTGCTGCTGGGGGAAAGTCAGTTTCGTAGGAGGGCGGGGGCTTTGACTCCTTCTCTTTGCCCTAATCCATCCATCACTGTCTATCACACTGTCAATTTCCAGTCTCCTCACTGTTTACCTCTTTTTCAACTTGTCTCCTGGACGCTAGAGGCTTTGAATTTCGAGGCCATCTTTTTACTGTTCCATGTTTAGGTTTTATTCATGCACAGGAAAAAGAAGACATTACTGTCTGTCTAATCTTATTCCATTTCCAGGCATACACACATTTATTTTTGCAGCAACAGTTTTACTTGGTTTGGTATGACCAGTAAGTTACAGTAGCTATGGTTAAGTAATGTCGATAAATTTTAGATAAGATGCTGTCAAACTGGAATTGTGGTATACATTTGCAGACTTTATTATTCTTATTTTTTTTGTAGTGCCATTACTTTGTATTTGACACAGTGTTCATTGTTTAGAAAAAAATAGTCTTGCCTCGAAAAACTGATTTCTAAAAACATTTTAGTAGTTGACACTGTCCAGATTAAAAAAATTTCTGGATAAAAGGGAAGATATTAATTGATTTCTCACTTGATTTTGGCTGCCATGACAGACAAGCTCACTGCTCAAGAAATGTTATGTTAATGTCCAAAAGATCACAACAGTGTGCTTTCCATATTTACCAAGGCATCATTTTTCTCATAGGCTGCTTGGTCCAAAATAAAAGAATCAACAAAATAAAAACAGAAAAACACACTGCTGTCACAGGCTACAGTAACACAGCCTCTTTTAGTGCCACATTAATAGATAATTACTTTAAAAGTTTTCATTTGCACCACTTATTAATAAATGCAACCATTTGCAGTGCTACTCAAAAAGGACTGTCATTAACCAGTGATGAATAATTCCAATCAAAATCCAATCTAATTAAATAGCCCTTTATTGTCTTTTTGACTTCAGTTAACTAGTGACTCATTAATATGCATACTTTAACCCTCATGTTTTAAACATTACAGTGTACAGTGGATTTTCAAAAGCATGCTGAATGTGATTTTTTTTGTCCTTTTCTTTAACCTATTGCCTATCCTCCTGTTTTGCATCACTGATACCATCTGAAACAAAGAGTGATGCAACATATCATCTGTCCTCCCATCGTCTCAGAAATGAAGGGAGGGATAAAGATGGAAATTGGAGGAAATTAAAACTAAATTACAGAATTTACCTGGGATTTCATGTGCAAACTTGTTTTTTTCTCCCACTGTAGTAATAAATTTTAATCATTTTCTTTGTCTTGTTTTATCTTCATCTCTTTTGATTTTCCTATCTATCTATCTATCTATCTATCTATCTATCTATCTATCTATCTATCTGTCTACAACTGTATATTAGGAAATCACAGTCAGATATCGAGGGCAATTGTGGCCATCAGAGTAATGGACATTAACGACAATGCTCCTGAATTTGCCACAGAATATGAGGCTTTTCTGTGTGAAAATGGAAAACCTGGACAGGTAAGGAAAGAAGAGGCTCATTGATCAAACTAGTGATGTATCACTTTCTTTCTCTCTTTCCATCTCTTTCTCTCTCTTTCCTCCCCTCTAATGATTGTCTACAGTGAATTATAGTCAATTTATTTCACTGTGAAACCACAGAAGTAGGGGTAGAGTCCTTTCTCCCTGCAACACTCCTCCCTTAACACAGTGTGTGCGGAGCAAAGGGGAAATGAGAGCAGTCAGGATTGATGAGAGTGGATCATAATTCAAGACTTTCTTTGATGTCCTCCTCCAGATGGCACAATGCGTCCCCCAGCCAAAAATCCAGCATTCTCTTTCTCATCAGTCGACCTCATTCAGGGGGGCCTGCGTACTTACAATAGGAAGCTTTATTGAAAGGAAAGGAGAAAAAAAGGGAACTGAGGAGAGGGAAACTGTCCTGCAGGGCCTGAATTCTAATTTCCAATCAATCATAAAGACATACAGCACGATAAGACCTATGATGACAGATTAACAGATAGAGCCAGGAGCCTGAAAGTGTGCCAGACTAGACAGGACCTCATTGATAATAATCTCAAACTCTAGGAATGAATAGAGCATATATTTCATCAGGTGTGATCCAGCCAGTATTACACTAAGGCAACCTGCAGTGGCAAAAACAGAGTAATGAATAGGCTGCCTCCTCTAATGGCTTTGAGACTTCCTCTGTATATCTTCTTGTCTCTCTGTTTTCAACACAGGTGATTCAGACAGTCAGCGCAGTGGATAAAGACGATCCGGTCCAGGGCCACTATTTTGACTATCGTCTAGTGCCAGAGATGCTCAACAACCCCAATTTCACCATAAAAAACAATCAAGGTGAGAGATAAAAGAAAATACAGAGAAGCAACTCTTTTGGCAGACTGAGTGAAGTTTCTTTAAATTTTTCCAGTGGCTTTCTAACTCGTAGCATGTTAGCTGTACTGGAGATGAAATCTGGTGGATCAGTGTAGCTCACAGTTAGCAGATGTGAAATTGTCTGGACACCAGCTTCTTTTCACTCCCCAGTGCATTTTGAGAGAAACTAAATGAATGGGATCCAAATGGCTTTTCCGGGTAGTCTTGCAGCTCAATGTAGGGTGACTTCCTAGGAGCTGCTACAGTGTGGCAGATGGTTCAAAATTCATTTGCTAAATACTCTGATTGGTTTATTTGCCTTTTGTTCTTGTTTTTATTCACTTACTCTTCTCCTGCAGTCCCCTCCATACCCAGCTCTGAACAGGCTGTGTTCATGACGACATTGTGCAATGTTTTCAGCTTGGAGGCAAAAAATCTTCATATGGCACTGGCCTTCTGTTTGCATGTAGAGGCTGCAGGCTAACTTACTGCAGCCTCTCTCTGATGGAAAAAGGAGTCCAGCAAAATCGGGTCATCAAATGAAAAAGACATCTTTTGAAAAACTAAACAAAACAAAATACATTATCAGACAGGAAGAGACTACATACCTGTGTACTAATCATGGGCAAAGCAAAAATAGCCTTGACTAAGTGTATCCATACCACTTCAGACACATTACTGTAAGCAATAATTTAGGAAGAAAATATTTTTCCTTTCACATATGTGCAAAAATCCTGCCTGAAAATTAGAAGCCAAAAGTGAAGTGCTGTTTAATAGGCAGTGACTCACTGCTAAATGCTCAGTCTTAACTGTGGATCAACATCAAAGTGTATAAAGCATGCAGGTTCCTGAACCATACCCTTTTGTTGGGAGGAGATTTAATAGTTTCTTAAGATGATGTAACAGATAAAACCTCCACTAGAAATGTTTCACCAGGTCTGTGAGTTCAAACAGTAAAACAGTCTGCATTTTTCCTCATTTGCCTGAAATCAAAATGTGTTTTGGTTCAGTGCTGTATATTACATACTGCACCAAACACTTATCTGTGGTACTGCTAATTCTGAACAGAGAAATGAAGCCCATTGTACCTATTCCCCAGCACTTCAGTAACTATTTCTATCTCAACTGGCAGCTGTGGGAGACACTTCAATGAAGAGCGGCAGGCTTCTGTAAACCTGTGTGCGCTGCTTTTGTTTGTGATGATGAGTCTAATTGTAGGGGTTGCATACTGAAGAGGTTAGTAGTTGCCCACCATGGGGAAAAGGGTTCTGACCAGCTGTGTACAAGATGTCAAGCACTCTGACTGTCAAGCGACCCTCTGAAGGCAGGGTCGCAACAGAGCGGAGCATTTCATTCTCACTATTTGAGACAACATCTTGACCATCTGGTCAAAAAAGGAAATTTTGCTCCTAGAAGCTAATTTCTGACTCCATGCTTAACTTTTAAACAAAAAAATAAGTCTTCCTTGTGCAAATGTGAAGCTGCTCATATTAGCAATAAAATGTGCCCTTGCACAATTCAATATACTCAGTGATTTTGCAGCTAAAACCTAACTTGTTTTGGTATGACCAGTACTTTGTGGTGGAAACCATTAGGAAACCTTTAATATGATATTGCTTTATAGCTGATATTATTCAGACAGTTTACTGATTTTATGACTCCTCTCTAGCACCTGTTTAGTTCCTGAACAAGCTACCAGACAAATATCCACTCAAGGGAAAGTGCTTACTAATGTAATTTTGCAGGCTAATTAGCTTTTCAGCTGTAGTACATTGAAAAGCTTAAACATGTGGATGCAGATGTCAACATCAGTCAGTTTAGATTTTAATTGGTTTTGTCATGATTCTTTAGTGCCACTAATACTGTAATACAATAATATTCTTAGCTTGTAAGCTACATTAGCTGGTGGAAGTTTGCCAGTGTTGGGCCCCAGCCAGGCAAGTTGTTAATCAAACATGTACTCCAGCCTTCCCATTCAGAAGCCTGGAAGCCAACGGAGGATTTCTGATGTGTTTGAAAACCCCTTTTTTCTCTTTCAGCAACACATTAAGAAGCATAAAGAATTTAAAAACTGATATTAACACTGATTTTCTTCTTTAAAATATATGATTCTTGTGATTTCAATTGGACCTAAAGTCATGCTTTGATTAGTGTAACTCTTTAGCTGGTTGCACGTATTATTAATTAGGAAGTGGTACCAATTATTTCATGTCTGTGTTGTACCATATAGTACTGCACTGTTTACAAATTAAATCTGTGCAACATTTGTAGTGTGAAAAATAATGATGAGACATACCAACATTAGCTTTTTTTTTGCTTCTTCCAGTCCTTATGTTATTATAAAGCATTTGAGAACTGCTGGTTTGGGATTCATGGATGTGCTGTATGTGAAGTTACTCCCAAAATCTATACTTTCAAAATTCCAAAGGTTCTCAGGCTGTTAGTGTCACTTCTGCTGTCACTACCTTCATTTGGATCCCTCCGCATATTAAGATATTTATAACAAAAAAGTAATTCAAATAAGTCTTTGTTTTTGTTACAGTGACAATTAATATTTCATTGTAAACTACATTAATTAGTGTTGCCAGATTAAACACTGTTAGTGTGTCCTAATATATAAAAGATTATAAAAACAGGATTTTTGTAACTCCACTAAGTTCAGTCTGTTTGAAGGTTGACTGCACAGCTGTCTTTCTCTTTGAGTAGCAGTCTCCTCCTGTGGATGGCCTGACAGGCAAGAAATGTTCATTTCTATTTTTATCATCAATAGTTGCCAAGAAAATGAGACTGACCTGTATACAAGAACAGGCCCTGATGGTGTACTACAGTACAGTAAAAATTTGCATACTTAATGTGTAATGATCCAAATGAAATAGGACATGTCTGTGCTCACAAAGCAGAGCATGCCACTTTGTGGCAGCACTCATAAGAAAATAAATCTTAGCATATGTTCTCATCAATTTCAGAGTGTGAAAAGCAAATAATTCTATCATGAAGCATTCCATCTTTTGATTAAGTTTGCTCTGTCAACGCAGATGTTTCAGCATCGCTCGTCTCTCTATACCATCTACCACCAAATCTACTTTCAGCCTCCCTTCAGTGCACACTCAAGCAGAGGGTTTAAAAGAAGGTTAGACTATCAGCAAATCCTGTATGTTTTCCATAGGATCAGCAGGAGTGGATTCTTATGGGAATGCAAGTGTTTGATAATGTGCACAGGGTAAGGGGAGCCAGCTAATGAGCAGACAGCTTGACAGAAGTGTCATCAAAGAGCAGCTGGCACCTTTCTGGTCGACATGTGCCATCTTCTAAGTCAGTGTCACCTACTGTGGTCCCTTAATTTCCTCAGCTTTCAAAGGAGGACAGCAAACCCAGGCTTGCCTTCTTTCAGAATTCCCAGATTGGTCTGTCAAGAGAAAGGAAGGTGGCTGTAATCCTTCTACAGCACTGGAATATGAGAATGCTATAAAGTCTAGTGACGATTTATGTGAAATTAGTTAACCCTCATGCTGCACTGATCTTCACACAGCTTAATAACAGAAGTTCAGTCTGTCGCCACCATGAATTATAATGCGTTTTTCAAACATTCTTGCAAAAATTCATTTCTGGCTTTACCTCCCTCTGACAGACAATTCAATCAGTGTTCTAGCCAAGCATGACACCTTCCGACGACAGAAACAGGAGATGTACTTTCTGCCAATCATTGTGACAGACAATGGGAATCCACCAATGAGCAGCACCAACACCTTGACCATCCGAGTCTGTGGGTGCAGCAAAGATGGCATTGTCCAGTCCTGCAACGTTGAAGCCTACATCTTACCTATTGGTCTTAGCATGGGAGCGCTCATTGCCATCCTGGCCTGCATTATACTCCTTTTAGGTGAGCTATTTCATTTTTGTCCTGTAACATTATTATGCTCAGTGGTTTAATAGATTAAAAATCTGCATAATCTGACCTTGATGAATGATCTATTTCCTTGTCTTGACAGAAAATCTACTTGTCAAAGCTTGACCTAGAGTTCTTCTTTCTGTCTTTCTTTCTGACAGTAATAGTAGTTCTATTTGTGACCCTGAGGAGACACAAGAATGAGCCTCTCATTATCAAGGATGATGAGGATGTGAGAGAGAATATTATCCGTTATGATGATGAAGGAGGGGGCGAGGAGGATACAGAGGCATTTGATATTGCCACGCTGCAGAACCCAGATGGCATCAATGGTTACTTACCACGCAAAGACATCAAGCCTGACCTGCAGTTTATGCCCCGGGCAGGCCAACACTCAGGCCCCAATGGCGTGGATGTAGATGAATTCATCAACATTCGGCTCCACGAAGCAGACAATGATCCTACAGCACCACCTTATGACTCGATCCAGATCTATGGATATGAGGGCCGGGGATCCATTGCTGGCTCCCTCAGCTCACTGGAAACGGCATCATCGGACTCGGATCAAAACTATGACTATCTCAGAGAGTGGGGCCCACGCTTCAGAAGACTTGGGGAGCTCTACTCTGTGGGCGAGAGCGACCGTGAGACCTGACCTTTGGTTTGTTAGAAAAAAAAAAGACTTTTCAGATTTTTTTTTCCTGTCCACATACTTGTGTATTAAATGCTAGGGGGTTTGCTGGCTTTTAGAAACATGTAAAAAAAAAAACAGTTAAGGGAGAGCCACCTTTTTATATTCTTTTTAGAGTGAGGTATAGCAGTTGTCATCCACTACGTCAAGCGCATTGTAATTGTTGAGCCAAACAATGTCTTTATTAGGAGATCTATGATACTTGTGGAGTGTAACTTAGATTCCGTTGTGGAGTGTCTAGCAGTATTTTGGGTGTTAGTCATTTGCTGTGACTGCCAGTAGCAGAAAAACCCTGGAATCGCTGGTAGTTGCCCAATGAAAGAAATAATGGATATTGCTTGGTTCTCTGAAGCTTGAGTAGACACCATACTCCATGTTTCGTGGACGGCAAGCTGGACTACAGAAGCTGCAGAGGGACTCTTGTTTCACGTTTCCCTAAGCTGATTGGTGATCTGAAACAATGAAAAAGCAATATATGGTCTACATTATAATGATGAATGTATGTATGATTTGAAAAAAGCAAAAAGACAAACCAGTATTGGCTTTAGGTGAATTTGTTATTATTTGATATGTTATCTGGTGGCTACATTTATAAACTATCTAAAGCCCAGAAAGGCTTGCTTTATACAACTCTTTGTATTTACACGCTACAGGTGTGGGTTGCAAGTGTTACTAGCCTATAAAAGACTGAAATTAAGACAAAAAAGAGAAATGTAGAAACTCTGAGGCCTTCTTTTTACAGAAGCAACATTAAATACAATTGTAATCTACAGTTTTTTGACAAGAAATGTGTTGATTATTCATTATTGTTCTGAGTTTCTGTATATCTGTTCTTATTTTTTTCCCTCTGTGCTGACAATTTAAAGTGTGTGCTTAGATTATTTCACATGCAGCTGTTTTTTCAACCATTTGAACACTATTTCATAACAGCCAAACCATATTGCAAATCTATTCCAGATGACCTAGACTAGATCTAAGTGAGAAAAACAAGAGCTCTAAGTTACTGTAACAATGCAGATGATCTATTTAATTGGGACTGTAGGACCTTTTTGAAACATGCTAATTCTGTGTAACATATCTCTCATAATATATTTCGAGGTACATCCAGTGACCATCTGAGCACAATAATCCAATTGATATCCGAGTATGTGACTCCCTCCAAACATCACACCTCATTTAGGAAAAACAGATCACATTATCCCCAAGAAAAATTAAGACAAATACAGACCATGTGCATAATGTGCTTACACTGTATGATATAAAAAAAGACATGTACTGTACATAGAGTTACTGCTAACGTCATTAGCTTTCAATGAGGTGGTAGGTTTTGTCTCTGCACGTTAGCTCTTGCACATAATGAGAATTTCAACGACACTACAGCTGCGTGCATACTCAGTTTGTACTGATACAGTATTATGGCAGTTCTTGGTAGACTAAACAATATATATGGAATAGTCCTACATGCAGATCATATTTTCTACTGTGCTTTAATGCTTATAAATGTGTATGTTCAATTATTTACTCCCGTACTGTAATCCAAGATACCCTGTATTGTTTCCTACTTTGTGAAATATATTTTTATAAATACTGCTGAATGGGTGTTGTTTTCCTATGCAGATGTGATGTCAGCGATGTTGCAGAGAGAACAATAGCACCATTAAAGGGACACTCCACCAATCTTAAACATCACATCATCACACATCGTGAGGAGTACTACTTAGCTAGTATAAATGGTTGTCTAATTTCATTGGAGGGAGCTTTCAAACAGTTAAAGTAGTATAAATGGTTGTCTAATTTCTTATGTGGCATTGGAGGGAGCTTTCAAACAGTTAAACACATCATAGGACTGTCATCAATGTTATCTGGGCTTGGGGTTAGAGACAACATATTTATCAGATATCTCAAAAACCTTGAAAATGGCAAAATATCCAGCAGCATAATCTAAGGGCTGGAAGCACAACTGGACCTATGCTCAGTGCTACAGGAAGACTGTGCTGAATATCTAAAATGCTTCTGGCAGGCTGATGTATCATCAAACATTGTGATAAAAAAAAGCAGCCCTGCAGCATTGTATTTCCCATACCGTTCTTCACTTAGTCACTGAGCACATTCTCACCCTGCATTCCTTGATTGCTATAAGTCTGTTTCAATGTCTTTTGATGCTGTGGAAAGCAAAAATTGACTTTTAACCCAGTTGATTCAACTTTCTATTATTACACCTTTAGACTGAACCTGCATCCCCAAAATGACAAGATAGGAAAACACATCAGCAGATCAACAGAGAGGATATAAATGACATATGCTTATCATTTTCTGTTTGCAGCAGTTTGTCCTTGGCTTGAAAATGTCTCTGCCGTTGAAGGCAACCTTTCATCCCTAAAAGTTGCTGATTTGTTTTTGTTCAGAAGCTGTATTGTCTTAAGGATCATTTTGGCATCATGAAGCTGGGACAACTCATCTTTTATAATGATACATCTGACACTGCTGTTAAAATAACTTGAATTGAATGGCGCACGCCTCTGACATACTGATTGGACTATAGCAGTCCTTTAACATATAGTCACAGTGAATAAGGAGGAATCAAGGATAAAATCAGCAAGCACTGTGAATGTGTTGTGTATTCTTGTCTCTCAGTTTGTCACCATCCAAGACTGTATATAATTTTTAACATTATTTTAACATTTCACTATCAAGGATCACACTCTCAAATGAAGATATAGAAAATTTTTATTGGATGATTGAGGGGACCCAGTAAACACCTGATGTGTGTATGTGACGTCTATATTATGTTGGCTGGTCCAAGTCCTTTTTTGTACATTTGTGAGATGTGCAGTAGAGGTTCAAAACCCAATGTCTGGATAGGACTCATTTTGGATGTCTTTGGACCTCTAATACAAGCTCAGTATTTTGATGTCTGGCATGGATCATCTTTCTACTTCTGTGGACGTAGATGCTCGTTTGGATGTTTGGACATGTGGTCCAGACTTATTCTGGACAAGACAAGGCAGAATGTCAGATCAGAGTGTGTCTCTAGGACCACTTTTTGGCATCCATGGGTGTTCATTACAGATTTGGATGTCTGTACAAGATGTCAAAAATAAGTATGCCTCTGTACATCTACACAAGACATGATTGGTAAATATCTGGATGTCTGTCCAGGACACATTTTGGATGTCATCAGACATTCAAAATAACTTTGAACACTGGTACCTGAGTTATACCTGTTTTGGATGTTGTCAGATGTCTGCACATCTATACCGGATGTCTACCAACACCCAGCATAGGTCCCATATATGCACATCTATTGGGGACCTACACTGCATGTCAGTAGACATCCAAAACAGGTCCAAAACATATGCCAATGTTTTGAGCCTGATTTGTATGTCTGCTGACCTCCAAAAAAAGGTCCCCAGAAGACGTACAGATATGAAACCAACCCTGGACATCAATGGACATCCAAGCTAAGTCTTCATATTGCTGGAAATACTTGTGTCACATTAGCTGATTTGCTAAATTACTTTTCCACTGACATTCAACAAACTTGGTAGCTGTTTTACAAATGTATGCTGTTGTTGTGACATTAGTCTTTCCCCAGTTGCTAGTATTGTTGTTGTGTTAATGTGTGTTAATGAATTCTGGGGGCTGTGGTTTGCCCCTGTTAGTTATATTATTTTTATATGCAAACGAGATTAGACATAATGTGATTTCCCATTTTATTGCCTTTTTTTATTTCTCTATTTTATTTCTTTTTGATCATTGTCTCTTGGTTAATCTTGTTGAGAGATCAGACTTTTGTTCATCTTTATCTGATATTGAGGTTTCTCATAAATAGCAAAAGCTTTTATCAATTACTGACTGTGCCTCACTAAAGTCAAAAGCACAAAATCACACAATTCATTACACCTATATAGAGAGTTTATAGTGCACATGCACACACAGTGAAGACATGTATTATGTTCTTGTAATAAAAACAATATGGATACTAGTTGCAAGGATCAGACAGATTTGATGTAAAAAATAAGAAATACAGAAACTTTATCATCAGATTCCACATTGCAAATTACATACATCTACCTTTTCCAAACTTACCAAAGTGGTGCTGGTTTCTCAGCTGCCTTTGCCCTCTGGGATTGAAAGTGATGTTAAATATGGAAACTGCTATCTTTAATGCACTAAAATCCATTAGTCAAAAATCAGCCATTGAACATATTTTTCCAACCGATATGTCCTGCTAACACAAATTGTTTTCTGGAATGTGCCACCCCGGCAGGTCAGCAGACTCATTTGTAGTCAATCTTCATGCTCTCCCACTGCTGTGTATGGCTGTAGGTCTGACAGAGGTTGCCCAACTAAACAGTAAATCAAATTATCTTCTGACGTTTGTCACATAATGGAAATGCCCCTCGGGTGACAACTTTGCATTTGTTGTTCCCTACTGATATGTGCCAGATTTTATAAGGCAGGCCTGTGGCTCCAGCTCACATGGTTTAGAAACTGTAATTTGTGTTGCTTGGCAGAGATGCCCTCAATTACAAACAAACCTTGGTGCACACATATTGTAAGTAGGCTAGCTTGAGAAAGGAACTGGAGACAGAGTTTGCCTTCTTCTGCACTCTCCCGTGGCTGAGGAAACCACTCTTTTATTAGAACACACACATCTGCACACTGCAACCAGAACGTCAAACAATCTCCACCGACCCCTACCTAAATACATCCTATCCAGAAGGACATTATGGGGAATCCTGCCAGATACTCCCCCCGTAAGGCACCCCACCAAGTGTCTTTCCAGACTACAGGGCAAATTAATAATTACAGTATATTTTCCCTAAAGCTCTAGAAACTAACCAGTCTTCCCATGATAGACTTCTACCTTGACCCAGGTTTGCTGTGCAACAGGTAGTTTGTGAATTGATTAAACACTAATTCATCAGGAAATGCGTACTATGAAATACAACATCAACAGAAGTAATAAAAGGTTGTAAAACTATATTTTCACACAAGGGCTCTCTGCAGGTGAGAGCCCCAAATTTAGTTAATATGCACTATTTATATATTGCCCACTTATGTGCAGTATAATCCAGAACAATGTATTTTAAATTTTGGCCATAGTGAATTTAATTTGTGTTGCTCAAAGCAATGAAAAAAAAACATTTGCAAATGTAATAAATTAATCTACTCCAGAGACAATGCACAAGTTATAGTACAGAAGATTAATGTGCAGGTGATTATATGATAGGGACACCTTTTGTTTTAAGTAAGACAAATGAGCAATTAAAGCATGTGAGTAGAACCACTGAAAATGGGTACAAATTAGTAAAGAGGGTAAAGGAAAATAAGGTAATTTTAGAGGAAATATATAGCTAGACAAGCAAATGAATTCTTGTGCGATTGTAATAGTATGTCAGTTCAACTCAGTCTTCTGGAAATTATGTTGATATACAACTAATTTCCATTAACAAGTGCATTCTGGAGGATAAATGATGCATACTAGCTTATGTTATCAGTTTTATATGAGAGAATGGTGTTGATAACAATATTTAGCAAATATATTGGTACTGATCATACACAACTTGTTTGTTTTCTGCCAATATACAGTATCTGATCTTGCAATACAGTGTTCACTTGTAGTACCTACAGCATTATTTTATGGTTAAGCTTAGGCACGCATAGCACTTCGTTAAGGTAAGGGAATGACTGTGTTCTGCATTAATACAGAAAAAGTACACAGTACCTTGAGACACAATTTATAATTAACATTTAAATAAAACTACAAACTTTTGTCAACCTTAAAACTGTTTGCTGCCTCAAGGTGTAAACCATGGGCTCTGATGTCACAATTGTGTGTTTTCTACATCCACCATCCACCCTAACCTCTTCCTAGGGGCTCTGCTGCACTTAATAGATGTACGAGAGTAGAATTTTATTCATTCAAACAAACACAAAAAAGTTGCCTCTGAACATAATTCCACAACTAAAGATTGCATTCTCCAAAAAGAGGAAAAAGTGGAGTAAGATTCTGGCCTCTAGTAAAACAAAGGCAATATGGTTTAATACTGAATCCCACATGCCCGAAACAGAATGTTGTCAGTTTAGAACATGTAAAGACAGAAAGTAAAGAGAAAAAATGAAAGTTAAATAAAGTAGACAGCCCATAGGAAGGACGAGGATAGAAGACAGGGAATGGCTAATCTGGAAAGTTATTGTATTTCTTCTTAAAGTCATTTTTCAGTATCTCAAAGTCTCAACAAATAAAATTCAGTCAGCATAGTGAGATAACACAGGAGGTGAGTGAGACAATGTGCATTTCTCTGATATGCTGTCCCTTTGAGGTCATTATCACCTACGTTATGATTGTAAATACATGATCTATATTCCTAAAATTATAGTTTATTACGTATTACACACATTATAGTAATATAAAAAAAAGTAGCATCATGTTCATGGAATTTGTCTTAGACAACATTTCCTCTCAATAACAAAGTCCCAAAAGCATTCACAGATAAACCCATTTCTTTATTATATGAATTTATTCGCTCATTATGA